TTCTGTGATGACTACCCTTAATGAAAAATTTAAGGATTTCTTTATGGTGTGACTTAATCTCATCCATAAAATCATCAATCACTATAAGCTTCGACCCCTGACCAGAGGGATGATCCTCGAGGAGAGGTAGTTCTTGTCTGAAATCGACTCTGTCTTTTAGCTCGTCGTAAAGCGACTGCCACTCAGAGTAATAAAAAATGATGAGTTCAAATTTTGTGTTGAACATCTCATCTTTATTTTCAATCAGGCGTTTCATGAAATAAGTTTTACCGCTGCCCGTCCCACCTACCACGAGGGCAGTGCAAGGATGTTGGAATCTGAGATCCATCATGAAGAATGAGGACAATGCAATGTGGGCATTTCTTTTATAGGGGCCTAACCAGCATCTCCCCTGCGCCGGTGGGGCCTGCCTGCTTCTCCCCTGCGCATTGCCTACATTTTAGGCGCCATCAAGCACTTCCATGACCTCGAGGAGGTCTTGGTCCTCCTTGTCGGCCATGGTCCATGCGTTGTAGCCGAGTGGCACAGTCATCTCCAGCCCAACACGGCGGCGTTTAGTGTTTTTTGCCTGCCACTGTTTTTTGCTGGCTCGTGTTACTATCTTCCAATTTGTAAGGCGGGCAATTTGACGGGGGATAGGCACTATGGTCTTCTCTTTATTTCCCAACACCATGGCTTTCAGATTTTCAAACGTGACTATCTGATCACAAGAACTGTTGATGCTTATGCCACGCACTTTGATGCAGTATTTGATGTTAGAGGTGTCTCCACCCACCGCCACAGCGTAGGAATAGTTTTTAGGAGATCCTCCTACGTACTCTACGATATAACTTGAAGGTCCGTAGTCCTCCTCAATTTGATCAGTTAGATCGCCCAAGTGGGTCCCTGTGGGAGGGTCTAGCTCATCAGGGCAGCTGATGTAACACAGACTGTCAGTATCTGTATAAAGGGCACGCTGTCCCACGATCTCCATGTACTGATACAGCTGGAGTCGTCCATGGCATGTTGTGAAAGCAGCATGGATTAGAGAAGAAGTGGGGAGAGATTCCTCACTATCTTCGACAGGCATGCATGTTACTTGCATGCACTCTTCACCAAGTGGAATAATACTTGTGATTTCAATGGAAGGATTAGTAAGGAGCTTCATAAGTTGCCCGTAATTGTATATGAGGTGGGTCTTAGGTCTGAGTGTCTTTTCTCCAAACTTGCCCCAGAACGAGTTACACATTAATTTAGCTAGTGTTCTTAGGGCTGGATTTTTCTCCATTTTTGTTGGGTCCAACACCACTCCATCAAACTTAAGTGTGTCTTCCACATACTTTTGCTTTTCCTCTTCACTCTTGCAGTTAGCAGGCCACCCACTGGCCTGAATTTTCAGTGCCATGAAACACCTCACATATGCTGAAAGGACACCATCCTCCTGTGTTTCAGGGTTGAACTGTGATGTCCCTGGATATTGGTAAACCTCGTGAACTTTTAGAAGTTCATAACCTTTCTCAAGGGCTAGATGGAGCTCCGGGGCACACCATGAGCCCAATAGCTCACGTTGATGGGGCTCATGATGACATATCTCAGTGCTTTCTGTTTCAGCACAAGTGCGGCATAGTGGAAATAGTAACTTTCCGTTGTACTTGTACCACAGCACAGGGAGGAATAAGTTCTGGGGAGGTAGTACAGTGCATTTTATCATACCATTCCAGAGTTCAGGTGGAGGAATATCAAGTGAGCCTTCCAAGTGTATTGTAGGGTGTCCTACAGGATAGACTGCACGAAGGTTAGCATTTGGGTATTCACTTACCACGTCCACCATCATGATCTTTTCCCCTTTTTTTGGATCTATTTTATGATAAGAACGAAGTGCACTCGTGCGACCACCAGCCAACCCATCGCGTAGATTCAGAGGTGTTACTCTGGTGAAAGGATGTGCAGTGAAATACTGAGTGACGTCTGGATCGTGTTTGAGTAGTCTTTTAAACTCACACTCCCACATCTCAATAACTTTGTACCCTGCTTCACGGAACAGAGCTGTGATTTGTTGTGTTTTTTCATATCTGTTTTCTTCTGAGTCAGATGTGGGTGGAAAATGGATTGGACAGTTGTGCCAATAACACCCATGAAATTGATAAATGCGTTGCTCTACACCACCGTCTGGGAGAGGGAGTTCTACATATCCATCAACTTGCCTCCCCATTACTTTGACCTCACGGTCGGTATACATCGTCGTGATTTTTCTACCCAAGACGTGTGTTTCATAATCCAACCACTGCAGTGCAATATGTGATTGTTTTCCTCGCCCATGGTAACCCCCTGGCGGGACTATTCCAATCGTCTCTGCTTTGAGGAAGTTACGGCGAAATGCTGACATGCATGCACTGCTGAGAGTTACGCAGTTAAACATAGGGTCAAACCCAGCAACTTCACAGAAAAGCTTCCGGAACGCCGTGGCAGCACGCCTCAAAACAGTCACATCTGAGATGCAGTACTCAAGAAAGTCACGTCGAAAGTTAAAGACATAGTTAGCAGCCACCTGTTCATCATACCACTCCGTAAATTCCTTCGCTGCTTTGGTCTTCATTTCAGTAATACAGTACAAGCTTTTCTCAAGCATAGGTCCCTCATATTTGTAATACTCAGGCTTGTTTGCAAGATGAGGCCAGTAGCCCTTCTTGAGCTCGTTTAGCGCAAAAGAATTAGGCATCGCACTAAGAGGCATAGCTAGAAACATTAGGGAATCTATAAACTTCCAGTTCCCAGCCTTCAATGCACTAATTTTAGCTCCTTGTTGTGTAGAATCTACTTTAATCTTTCTTGCAGTAAGCTCCTGCAGCAACAATGGGCCATCATAAGACCGTGCATTATGCGCCACAATCAATAGTTGAGTTTTAGCAGGGAATGACCGAAGATAATCTATGAACTGTCCCATAACATTGATGCTGGGATCGTCAAGATTGTGAAATATTTGCTGACGTGTCTTGCACACCGTACAAAAGTATTCATTCTGCTCTACATTCGCACACTCGTCACAGACTGCCTGTGAGACAATAAGGTTTGGGATGTGTTCAAATGTTTCCGCTTTACCTTCTACAGGGGTGTGTGTTGTACATTCCGTGTCCCAGTATATAGTAATGTACTTGTAGTCTTTCTTCTTCTCCTTTTCACTCCACCGAGACATATAACACAAATGATTTTCTGGAACACTCTCTCTGCAATTTCTACAGTATACAACACTGCACATGTGTTTCCTAGTGTGGAGCGCATTGTAACTCTTTTTACAAATATTGCAGAACTTAAACAGTTCACATTTTGTAAACTTTGAATTATTTATTTTAACAGTTTTGTGGTTTTCCATGCACTCAGCCCCTGAAAATTGATGGTGACAAGAAGTGCACCTTATAAGTTTAACTGTAGGGTCATCGTGTGGATTTTCCCCAAAACAACGCCAGCAGTGACCTGCACACTTGTGATGTAATTTATTGTTGAAAAACACAACACACTTCTCACATTCGAAATGAAAGTCAAATGCACTAAGAGGATAAAGAATTGCACTGAAATGTTCTTTGTGCCAGAAAAGATAGATATTTTTACGGTTCACTGCGTATGGCCCCTTGTACACACAGGCTGCATTTTTGTCTGTGAATACACACAGCCGGAAGTCAGGAAGACTATCTTGCAGTTTCACAACCTCGTCGATCCCACACGGCTGTGTGGGATCAATGTGTGCGTTTTCACAAAGTGTTGTCGCTGCCTCTAGAGCATTGTTCATTTCTTTAAATCGTGAAAATGCCCTACTGTTCATGCCGTGACGTGCTATTGCTACCGCAACACTCCGTGTCAAACACATGTTGTCTGTGTTATCAGGAGAAAAGATGCATTTTTTCCCTATTTTTCTGGCTAGCCATTGGTCTGTGCTCTCATTCTCAACTCTGTGAAGGTTCCGTCCACCTGCGTGAGGTGTTGGAATGTGAATGTAACTTACTTTGAGCTGACCTTCAGCCAAAAAAGCTTGGTTCGAGTTCAAAACTCGCGCCACCTTGTCTAGGACAACTCGGCCATTGAGCTGGTCTGCTCGTCGCAGACTGAACCAAAGAGGGTTGTCTGGCGACGCTGCGTTCTCTATTTCCATTATCACACGGTCATCGTCTTTGGCCTGTACTGCCTCTCGCTGCCTCTGTAGCACTGTGTCAAAGAGACCCTCCATAACCTCCTCTGAGGGCAAAGAGTCGCC